CTGAGACTTTTCATAATTCCCAGTCCCCTGAACTGTAGGCAAGGCAATTCAATTTAGTGGTAATTCAATTCAGTGCCAAGAGCAGTAAGGAGTCACTGCTCAGCTTTTGGTGTTCAGAATAGGATTTTGAGTTGTGGTAAATATTGAAAGCTGGTGTTTGTCAAGAATAAATAATTTTCAAAATTTATTTATCTTCCATTAGCATGCCCAGTTGGAGTAGCTTATAGATCTTCATTCTCAATAAGGGACAGAGTGAACAAGTAGAAAAAGTACATTTCCTATCACATTAAATGAAGATGGCAGGAAAAAGTACATCTCTTGCAGTAAGGTAAGGAGAGGCAGAAGTCAGGTATTTAGAGATAGGAGGGTTTCTTTTTCCCGTAGAGACTAAAATCCTACAAATGGAAGTTTGGATAGTATATTATATCAGCTTTCAGTTACTATAATGAAATTCCTGAGTCAAGTAACTTATAAAGAGAAAAGGACTATTGACTTACTGTTCTGTAGTTTCCGGTCCAAGATCAGGTGGCCCCAATTCTTTGGGCCTCTGGTGAGTTGGCACATCATGGTTGAAATACATGGAAGAACATTAGCTGTGTTGGGAGTCAATCCGGCTCCAAAGACTAACTTCCCTATCCCCCAAGAAGAGCTGTCCAATGGTGAACCCTGCTGGCTCACCTGATCCTTACCCATCAATCAGACTAGCCCTGCTGGCTCACCTGATCCTTACCCACCAATCAGACTAGCCCTGCTGGCTCACATGATCCTTACCCACCAATCAAAAAGTACCCCATGCCAACTGACAAACCGCGCCCCCCTCTATAAATATGCAGATCTGTTCCTAAATAAACGGCATTTTCTCCCATGGCAAGTCTTGATGGTTCTTTCAGGCTGGGGTTGTGGCTCAGCGGTAGAGTGCTCACCTAGCATGTGTGAGGCCCTGGGTTAGAATCTCAGTACCACATAAAAATAAATAAATAAAATAAAGGTATTGTGCCCAACAACAACTAAAAAATAAATATTTTTTAAAAAAGGAATACATGGAAGAACAAACTGCTCACCTATGAACCAGAAAGCAAAGAAAAAGAAGAGACAGGGTTCTACAATCTCCTCAAGGCATTCGCCCAGTGACCTAAAGACCTTCTACTAGGCCCCACCTACTAAAGGTTCACAGCATCTCCCAATATTACAGCCTTGGAGACTAAGTCTTTAACACACAGATCTTTGTGGGACATTCAACTTCCATATCATTCCTCTCAATGTCTCTAAAGTTTCATATATATTTTGGGGTTCATATCTATCTTGGCTTCTTTATATCGATACTATCAACTGCACCCTCCTTGACCACACCTTTACACAATGCAAAATGCACTCTTTCTAACCCAAGAGTCCCTAAAATCTTCTATTACAGCAACGTCCAAAAGTCTGTCTAGGACTGGGGTTGTGTGTGGCTCAGATCATTTTTATGTGGTGATCCCCAGCACCACATACAAATGAAATAAAGATATGTGTGACTACAACTAAAAATAAATAAATATTTTTTAAAAGTCTGTCTAAAGTCTCCTCTGAGACCTAAGGCAAAGTCAGCTATGAGTTCCTATATAAATAAAAAAGGAGTTTATATAATTCCAAATGCAATGCCTGTCCCACACAGGCACAAAGTAAATATTAACAAAGAATAGGAAAACAGGGCTGGGATTTTGGCTCAGCAGGAGAGCGCTCGCCTAGCACGGGCAGGACCCCGGTTCGATTCTCAGCACCACATAATAAATAAAGGCATTGTGTTGTGTCCATCTACAAAAAAGATTCTCTCTCTCTCTCTCTCTCTCTCTCTCTCTCTCTCTCTCTCTCTTTTAAAAAAAAGAATAGGAAAACAGTAAGGACAGATCAGACTCAAACAAGATTGAAATCTAGCAGGGCAAACATGAAATCCTAAAGCTCCCTGTCTAACATCCAAGGCACACTGTGACAGAAGGTGGGCTCCCAAAGGCTTGAACAGCCCCACCCCTGCAGCCTTGCTAGTTCCAACCCACATGGCCACATTCTYAGGCGGGCTTTGCACACTGCCCATAGCTTCCCTTTACAAGTGCCGCACGCCCTGGCACCTCCTCCTTCTTTGGTTCTCCATTACAGCTTTGGTTTTGCTTCTATGGCTCTATTACACTTGGCCTTGTTGGGGACTGCTTGCAGGGACTCTGACCCCATAGCACACTGCCTTTTGGGAACATTAAACATCCAAACTATAGAAGATAGATAGAAGGAAAAGTTAAAAGCAYAGATTTTTTACTTGCTTCCTTTGGGGGAAGGAACCAGAGTGACAATGGAGTGAAGGAGAGAGAAGACCTGAGCTAACACCTTCAAGCTTCTCATAGGCTACTTGTGTACACTGCAAAAAGTCACAAAGTAACTTTGTTACCTCCAAAAGAACATGGAGTGATTCTGGGTGGGAGAAATTGACCCTGGAGCAGAAGGGTTACTTCATCAACTGTGAAGGCCTCAGAGGGATTCACACCACCAGCAAGAGCCTGGGTGAGACCAGCTCTGACCCTGAGGACTATCTAGAAGTTCACCAGTCACACCCTGTATTGGCCAGTCAGCACAAGGGATACAAGGACCAGACAAGGCTAAATATCATGAAGAAGAGAATATTCAGGACCCTGAGGTACATTGATCACCATGTGGTCACATGAAGATCACCATATACCCATCATGGTTTGGGCAAGAAGCAGGATACTAAGGTGTCTTGAGTTACCCAGAAGAAACTAAACCAGAAGATTCTCAGACACTGTCAAATATCAATGTCCAGGGCTGGGATTGTGGCTCAGTGGCAGAGCACTTGCTTTGCACATGTGAGACACTGGGTTCAATCCTCAGCACCATATAAAGAATAAATAAAAATAAAGATATTGTGTCCATGTCTAACAAAAAATATATATTAAAAAACAACTATAATTAATATCCAGTTGAGGGATGGAGGTGGGCAGGAGGTGGAAAGGTCTGGGGAAGCTGGAACATTTACTGACATGGTATAATGGAATATGCAAGAGGCCAGAACTTGGTCCAGGATGAAGTTACCAGCCCTAGAGACTGTTTTAACCATGTACCTGCCAAATAAAATCCCAAAGACTGGGAGGAGAGTTGGATGGGGTGGGTACTGACAGAGAAGAGAATAGGAAGCTGTAGAGGAAATTGGGTTTATTGTTCAGGGCTGTAAATCCAACATCTGAATCATGCCTGCCTTCACATAAGTAAATAAACAAATGAATAGACGATGGGCAACACCTACAAAGAAGGACAGAAACTGGGGCCTGTAAAATCCTTGTTCACCATCTAATAGGAAATAAATTCTAAAAACTCACACTTTGTAATTACAGTCATCTCTCAGTATTCATGGGGGATTGGTTCCAGGACCAACTCCCCAGGAAGGATACCAAAATTTGCAGGTGCTCAAGTCTCTGGCATAGTATTTGCATATAACCTAACCATGTCCTCCTGTATACTTTAAATGATCTCTGGGGCACTTGTAATACCTAATACAATATAAATGCTGTGTATATAATTGTTGTACTGCTTAGGAATAATGACAAGAGAAAAAGTCTGTACATGTTCAGTACTGATGTAATTTTTAAAAAATATTTTCAATCCACAGAGGATTTACTGTACATATATTATATCATATATTTGACATGTATCAGCAGACTCTTGCTTGTAGAAACTGGTTTCAGCATTGGTTGCAGCTGCAGTTGGACCCTGAATAATTCTGCATCCATCAGCTCATAGCTTAGGATCCAGGTACAAAGGACAGAAAAACAGAAGCACTGTGACGGCAAAGATGGTATTTTACTCACTGCTTTATCTCCAGCTTTGAGAACACTGATTCATGTGTTATAAGTGATCGATATTTGTTGAATGAATAGGTTTTCAACAAACTATGTTTAAAACCCTTGATCCACAAGATTTGGGCTTTAATTAGAATAAGATAAATTCCATGCATGTATAATTTTATCAAAATGGACTCTAATGTCTTCTGTAACTAAAACTTAAAATATAAAAATTTCACATAAAAATTCTCTAGAGTACTGAGAAGGGGTGAGAATATCTGGTAGTTGGTTAAAGCATTCTAAAAGTCATTGACTGTTTCTTTAATTATTGTGCAACAAGCCACATTCTATGAAGGGCTGACTGTATTTAACAGTTGACTATTTTCTGTGCTCTTGAGGTTATTTCTTGCATCCAGGGCTGGCGACTTCATGGGCTGGGACCTGAACAGTACCCAGGACCCTAAACTTTGAAGGGCATTTGCTTGGTTTAAAGTTTTTCTGTTATCTTAAAATTAATAAAACTTTGATCCTACGTTTATTTTGAACTGAGAGCCATAAATTATGTAGTAAGCCCTGATTATATCTGAATGGTGGAAATACTATATGATGATGTATTGTTTTGTGTCTCTTTCCAATTCAGGATTCAGTGCCCTCATATCCACAGTATGAAACATTGTAGACGCTGGTACTAGTCACAAATTGGCGTGAGAAGCAATTGTAAAACATTCACCAGCACACTCTCTATAAGCCCACATTACATACATAAAATCATCATACACCTCCCTTCCCCCACTCCAGCGCCTGTAGCTTTAGATAGGATTCCAGAGTGGGAAGGAAGGTCTTTTTGCATAGCAGCTTATTATTTATTGATGACAAATAGAAAAAAAAAAACAATTAGCTCAGCCTAGGCGTTATTTCAAAATCTAAATTCGGATCTTCCATGAGTGAAATACCACACCCCAGAACAGTGAAAGAAATTCGCCTAAAGCAAGATGCGCATCAGTGGATAAAGGGTTAGGAATCAAGAACGCGCGCCTGCCTCCTCTCCCCCCCGGCCCGAGCCGCCCCTCCCACCGCCCTTTCTCCTTCCCCGGGAAATGCAGGGCTGAGAGGCTACAGCCTGAGTGATGCTGGCCAGCTCTGGGCTGGTGAAAGCGCACGACCTCCCGGTCCCTGGAGTCTGCTAGTGTGTCTGGCGTGCGCAGAGCGATGGAGGCCTCCTGGCTGGAAACGCGATGGGCGCGGCCTTTATACCTGGCGTTCGTGTTCTGCCTGGCCCTGGGACTCCTGCAGGCCATCAAACTCTACCTACGAAGGCAGCGACTGCTGCGGGACCTCCGCGCCTTCCCGGCGCCTCCCACCCACTGGTTCTACGGGCACCAGAAGGTAGATGGAAGGGAAGGGGTCATGGGCGGGTGCCAGAGACAGCCTGCGGACGGCGAGGCGTCTGCTGCTTTTCCTATCTCCAGACCCTCGGTCCTGCACGGACCCCCCAGCTCAGCCTTGACACTCAGCACCTTTTCATTAGTCTAGAGACTTCCAGCAGCCCCACAGGGAAAGGTCACTAGAGAAGAAACAGTGGGGGGTCGGGAGGGAGATTCTATGGATATATGTACCATATTATAAAATGCCTTCCACATATATTGTTTAAAATAGTATGTTATTATAAACAATACTTATTAATTGCATAAAATGTGCAACACTAAACACAATTGTTGGCACCCTACAGTCCATTCTAACCAAAGAAAATTAACTTTCTTTTCCCAAGATTCTTGTGAAGCAGGGAGCTATCCCAGCCAACCTCTCAAGAAATATGATTGATTGAAATCAATCAATCAAATAAAGAGGGAGACTGTTGCTTTTTGGTCTCTCCTGTTCTCTAAATCTGCTCCCAGTCCTGATTTTTTTTTTAAATTCAACCAATTTTGAGTGGCATTTGTGTGATAGATACTAGAATTACAAAAAACAAAATGGGTCCCTACCTTCAAGGGGCCCAAGTCAGGTACAGACTTAGGCCACCAAAAGAAATGAAAATACAAAGTAGAAAAAAAGTGGATGTGTAACCGATGTGAACCTGCATTATGTATATAGGGTAAAAATGGGAGTTCATAATCCGCTTGAATCAAATGTATGAAATACGATATGTCAAGAACTTTGTAATGTTTTGAACAACTAATTTWWAAAAAAGAAAGAAAATACAAAGTAGAGAGTGCTTCAGTGGAGGCTCATAGTCTTGGAGAATTCCTAGGAGAGGAAAGAATGTCTGTGAAGGGCTGTGCAGAATCTTAAAAGGATGGGTGGGGCATGTAGTGTTTTCATCTTCTAATGTCTTCTTCAGTTTCTTTCTTTGGTGTTCTATATTATTTTGGTTATGTGAATCCTATTTACTGCTGATCTAAATGGTCCAGGCTGATTTTGACCCTTTTCTACTACAGCTCCCTCCCCTATAGTATAGCTAACTTCCTCAGTTTCCCATGTGCTTAAATTTTCAATATCTGTTATGCTTTTTGTGGAAATAGCTTTAATAGGGCTATCACACACATCTCAGTATTTTCAAATATTAAAATATRCCAAATAATCTATCAAGCCAAATGCTTTTCTGGAGGTATTTCTCCCACAGCCCTCTCCTCCCCCTCCAATCCAGTTAGGCCTGGTACATAGCTGTTGTTCCAGGACCTCCTGTTGATGCTGTCCTGTGTCACATCTCATGTCTCCTGGACAGTATGGCTTCTTTTGTTTCCTATTTATTTCATCATTTTTATGGTTTGATTCTTGGGAATGAGTGAAGGATTTTTTGAGCTGTTAAATGGCCATAAACATTCTAATTTCAAACATGAATGGAATTAAGTTTGGCTAGGTATAGAATTCTTTAGAAATTATTTACTCTCAAGGCTGGCGTTGTAGCTCAGTGGCAGAGCGCATGCCTAGCATGTGTGAGGCACTGGGTTCTATCCACAGACCACTTGAAAGTAAAATAAAGGCATTGTGTCTATCTACAACTTAAAAAAAAAAAAAAAAGAAAGAAAGAAAGAAATTGGTTATTCCCAAGCCAGGGGGGTGGCTCACACCTGTAATCCTAGCAGCTGCAGAGGATGAGGCAGAAGGATCATGAGTTCAAAGCCAACCTTAGCAACTTAGCAAGGCCCTAAGCAATCAACAAGACCCTGTCTCTAAATAAAATATAGAAAAGGGCTGGGGATGTGGCTTGGCCCCCTGGGTTCAATCCCTGGTACCAGAAGAAAAAAAGAAAAAAATTGTTTATTCTCAGAATTTTGAAGGCATTATTTCATTGTCTCTACCTTTCAAGATGACTATTGAAAATGCTAATAATTTTCTGATTAGTTTGTTTCAGGTTTTAATTGTATATGTTTAAGGTTAATAAAATGATGTTTTAATATATTTATCTGGATACGCATAAGAATAGTAAGGAGATTAATATAGTCAAACAAATTAGCATATCCATCATCTCATATAGTCACCTTCTCTCCTTTTCTTCCTCTTCTATCCCCTCCCAACTCCTTTTTCTTTTCCTTTACTTTTTTATTACTGCATTACAATCATATGTAATAGTGGGATTCATAGTGATATGTTTATACATGCCCGAAATTTGATCAATTTCATTCCACAGTACCTCCCTCTGCCTGATCCCTTTCTTCTACCCTAAGGGTCTTCCTCCTATTTTTATAAGATTTCCTCTCCACTCCAACCTCACCCCTCCCCTTTTTTTTCCTCTCTCTCTAGCTTCCACATGTGAGAAAAAAAAAAAAAACATATGGCCCTTGACTTCCTGAGTCTGGCTTATTTTACTTAACATAATGTTCTCTAGTTCCTTCTTATAAGTGACATTATTTTATCTTACCTCATGGCTGAGTAACTCCATTGTGTATCTATATCATGTTCTTTATTCACTTGTCCATTGATGGACACTAAGGCTTCTTCCCTAACTTGGCTGTTGTGAATTGCAATGCTATAAATGTAAGTATGCAATTGTTGGTAGGACTGCAAATTAATACAACCACGCTGAAAAGCAGTATGGAGACTCCTCAAAAAACTAGGAATGGAACTACCATATAACCCAGCTATCCCAATTCTTAGTATTTAATCCAAAAGAACTAAAATCAGCATACTATAGTGATACAGCCACATCAATGTTTATAGCAACACAGTTCACAATAGCCAAATTATGGAACCTGTCCAGATGCTGTCAATAGACGAATGGATTAAGAAAATGTGATACACATACACACACGTTTTACTCAGCCATAAAAAAAGAATGAAATCATGGCATTTGCCAGTAAATGTATAGAATTAGAGAACATCATGCTAAGTGAAATAAGCCAGATTCAGAAAATCAAAGGTCAAATGTTTTCTTTCACATAGGGAAGCTAGAACACCATAAGGGGGAAAAGGAAGGATCAGCTATCATAAGGATATGGGGAAGATCAGTGGAGAAGAAGAAGGACATTGAGATGGAGGGAAGAAGGACTGGAAAGGAGAGGAAAAGCAGAATAAACTTAACAAAGTCATGCTCTGTGCATGTATAAATATACCACAGTGAATTTCAAGTATAGTATATATAAAAGTATATATATATATAAATATATATATATATTAGATAGAAAGATAGAAAGCAAACAATCAAAAATAAATAAACAAGGAAAATAGAGAAAGGGAGGATGGGAGGGAAAGTGGGGGAAACAAGGATTGAACTGGAGTAAATCAAATACCATGCTTGTATGATTTTGTCAAAATGAACACAACTACCATGTATAACTATAATGCTCAAAAAAATTGGAATACATATGTACATATATGGTATCTATGTGCACTTATTTCTATGTGTAGCTATAGTATGCTACTTTAATTATTTTGGATAAATATCAAGCAGTGGAATAGCTGGGTCATATGGTGGGTCTATTYCTAGTCTTTTGAGGAGCCTCCATAATAATTTCCTTAGTGTACATATTAATTTACACTCCCACCAACAAAATGTAAGTGTTCTTTTTTGCCACTTCCTCACCAGCAATTATTATTATTGCAGTTCTAATGGAAGTGAGATGAAATTACAATAAAGTTTCGAAGATGTCAAGCATTTTTTCAGATATTTCTTGTCCATTGTTATTTCTGATTTTTGAGGAATATGTTTCCTTCATTTGTCTATTAACTGGATTACTTGTTTTTTTTCAGGAGGTGTTAGTTTTTTTTGAATTCTTTATATATTCTAGATATTTATCCCCTGTCAGAAGAATAACTGACAAAGATTTTCTCCCATTCTATAGTTTCTCTCTTCACACACTTATTTCTTTTGCTGTACAGAAGCTTTTCAGWTTSATGCCATAACATTTGTTAGTCCTTGGTATTATTTCCTGAGTTTTGCAGTCCTGTTAAGGAAGTTATTGAGACAGGACAAGTCCAGCCAGTTCTCTAATTTCCTTTACTTTATTTTTTCTTTTTCTTCTTTTCTTCCCTGCAGTTTCTTCAGGAAGATAAAATGGAGAAGCTTGAGGAGACTGTTGAAAAGTATCCTTGTGCCTTCCCTTGTTGGGTTGGGCCCTTTCAGGCATTTTTCTTTATCTATGACCCAGACTATGCAAAGACATTTCTGAGCAGAACAGGTAAGACAAGGGGCAAATCTCAAGGACCTAATCCTCCTAGGAGTGAGATGGACATGACCCACAAGCAGGAACTGAAGCAGAGATTAGTACTGGGTCTTTAAAAAAAAACAAACAAGGGATTTTATTCATGAGAGAAACCCATGGTTAGGACACAAGCCAGCAGGTGGTCACAGCCTCATAATACTGAGTGTCCACCTGCAGGGTAGGGGGAAGGACGAAGGGAATACACCCAGAAACCCCATTCCACTCCTAGAGACCCAGACACACTCCCAAGTGACTCAAATGACAGRTGGGGACAACAATTAGATGGAATAGTKGCCAGAATGAGGACCTGTGAGACCTGTGGAATGTGGCAGGTGCAGAACCCCTATCCATTCAGAAATCTCTTGGACCCCATTTGTGTTCGTCTTCAAGGACGTCTTGAAGGTCATGTGCAAGTCTCTTCAAGGCAGCTTCTAGTTGCTTGCCATATACCCCGAGGCCCCAGCCATGGGGCTCCCCAGGAAAGGCTGCTGCTGGGACACTCTCCTGGGTACTCTCTGGAAGGTTCCCACAGGCCTGGCTCTGAATGGAGAAGCTTCTGGGGCTTCTTGGGCTGGGGAAGTGGGCGTCTTTGGCAGATGGGCATGTACAAGACAGGCCAGACCAGGGGGGGCTTGCCCAGGTTGGGCTTGCCCAGGTTGAGTGTGCCCAGCATGAACACGAGGGCTTCGAGGGCCGGTAGGGGTAGAATTCAAAGCGGTGACAGCCTGGTTCCCAGTACCGGTATGAACACTGCTGTACCCTAAACCAATTCTTCACGTGTTGCTCCTCTAGGCCAAGGTGGGAGGCCAGGGGCACCAGGGCACCCAGGGATGGAAAGGGGTCGGAAGTGTGCTTCTAGCTCTTCTTTCTGCTGCTTGCTGGGGATTAAAATAGGCCAATCCAGGGCCTATGGGCCCAGTATACTGCGAAGGCTTTGGATATTAGCCTTGGCAGCAGAGGCTCCATTCAGAGGAAAGGGAGTACTGGGTCTTTATGATACCCTGGAGCAAGTGTGGAGAGGGGACAGGACTCTGACCAAGTGAACTCCTTATGTCCTTCTCGGTCCCTAGTCTAGTTCCCAACTCCAGAGTCCTTTAAAGCTGAGCTGTCATTACCAGACTGGCCTTTGCCCCTCTCATTTTTRTGACTTCCCTTTCATCAATACTCCCCACTCTCATCTGTCCTGAACATAAGCCTCCAGGGGAAGTCAGAAGTATCCCTGCCTCTGTAGGCTCAATACATAATTCTGGACCTATATCTTTCCGTTACCAGCCCAACCTCCTGATTATGATCCAATTTTTTTTAACCTTTATGTATGTACTCAGCTATGTTCTTTTGGGGGCCATGAATCAGCTGCCTCCTCTACCCACCCCTTTTCAAGGCCTCCACCGTGAATTATGCATAGCACAGAATTAACATGGCCAGTGTTTGCTCTGTCAACTTTGCAAAACAAGTGTCTCATATTCTAATCTGTTCTTCATATTCCTCATCCTTAGTAAAACCTCATAAAAGAAAAGAGCCTTTCCCTGAAAGTCTCCAGGTTTCCCATCCCCCTCCTCTGATTTGTCTCAAGTTCAACTCTTAAGAAACTCCATGTCAGTGTCACAAGARCAACAGGGGGCGTTCGTGTCTCACTCTATGGTGACTGCTGGTGTGTCTCATATTTAATATACCTTTCACAAAGGATATATGTTGTGCTACTCTAGTTCTGGAAATGTGGCAATCCTCTGGCAACCACTGTTTCTGTTGGTAGAAGTGAAAATGAGGGAAGAATCTGGGTTTGGGTATCTATGTGTCTCCCGGGACTTGCTATTCTCTGACACTGAACCAAGACCTGTGTTTCCCCCTCCTCCCAGGGCTCCCATTTGCTCCTTGTGAACACAAGCAAATGGAAAAAAAAAAAAAACTTCACTAACTGGTAATGAGTGAATGAGTGCTCCCCTCTAATGCTGTCTTTTGTTTGTTTCCTCTGCTTGACTCTGCAGACCCCAAGTCCCAGTACCCATACAGGTTCATGACTCCGTGTCTTGGTATGTATGTGCCAACTTGTAACCCGCTTTCCCACTAAGTCCCCTTTGCATGGTAGAGCATTTCAGAGACTCAAATCTGACCTCAAAAGTATCAAGAGTGAGGTTGATATATACTGGGAGTTATCCAGGGGAAGGTCACAGGGGAGCATGAAGGTCAACTCAGAACTTTCTGAAAAGCCTTCTTATCCATTTCTCTCCTCCAAGTCCCATTTTCAAGGCATCATAGGGATGAACCTGTCTCCTCAATTTCTTTTTTGTTTTAATAGAGACATCACATTTTTATTGTTTGTTTTAGCCAACATTCATTGACTATGTGCATTCCAAGAACTGTTTTAAGCACTTTATATTAATAAAGCTTTTTTTAATCCATGACATTGCTAATATGAATGAAGCAACTGAAAATGATATAATATATTCCAAACAAGACATAAATTTAAACTAAATCAGAATATCTATATTTTGTTTTTGTGTATCTAACCTACATTACCTTCTCTTTCATTAAAATTGTAGCTTCACCATTCCTACTCTGAGAGACTCCTTTGGTCTCTCTTGTTTCCTTGGATTTTTTTTCTTTTTTTTTTTTTTGTAGTTCTCTTATTTTCATATGCAAATCAATAAATTTTATTCTGAAGTACAGTTTGGCAATATTCTATGAGCAGATAAATTAAGCTCTTTAGTCATATAATCGATGCGTGTGCTAGACCAGGAAAGAATTAAATGAAAGAATSTAGGCTTTGGATCCAGATCCCCTTAGATTTGAATCCTGCCCCCCATACCAGTAGACTAATTGAATGTGATTTTAAGGAAGTGATTTAATCTCTCTATGCCKTAGTTTCCTCATCTTTGAAATTGAGGATAAGAATCACTGTTATAGCTGTTATGAGACAAATTAATGTGTATTTCTAGCACTTTATGTAATGCCCAACATTGTACCAGAGCCAGACCATGCATCATGAGCCTGGCATATTTTAAGCACTCAATGAATAGTGTCATTCAGACTTTCAGGTCCTTTTAAAAATAAATCCTTAATGAATACTCTGGCAATAGATTATGGTGAGGTATTAGCCTTGATAAGTGTTTAMATGTGTGTCATTCATAGACCAGGGCTCAAGAGGGTGGTATCTGGGAATAGAGTTCCTAGTGAATTTGTATTTCACTCATTTATGAATTGGTTTACAGTGGAGAGGAGATGGATATTTGTTGTGTTTCTACTGTGAGCTAGGGCAGGACTAGGTTTTGTATCTTATTATACATCTCCATAGAATCTGCATGACACAGTAAGATTGGTATTTATTATCAAAATTTATTATTGAAAAAAAATAAGCCTCAGAAAGTTTAATCAACTTCCTCAATTACTACATAGTGATTTTATTATTACCACTCTCATTTCATCAGACTTTGAAACTTATCAGACTTTGAAACTCAGGATGTTAAATTCATCCATCCCAGATATAAGCAACAATACTCACTACCATCTTAACCTCTGAGCCCTTCTTTGATATTCCACTATTTCACTCCATGCTATTCTTTATCTTTCCTTTTTCTCTGATCTAATAAGTGTCATGGATTTATGTCTTTTATTTCTCAAGGAAAAGGACTCTTGAATCTAGATGGGCCCAAGTGGTTCCAGCATCGTCGACTACTGACTCCTGGATTCCATTGTGATATCCTGAAAACATATGTCGATATGATGGCCCATTCTGTGAACATGATGTTGGTAAGTAGGGTGGGGAAGTGAAGCTCTGTTGCATTGCAAGGGGCTTCTAACTGGAATTGTATTAGGCATACATTTCATGGATAGTGAAAATCAAAAGTCAATTTCTGAAATTAATCCATGTATAAGTACCCACTGAAAAATAGATGTTTGTGTAAGCTTTTGCTATTTTCTTTGGGTGATTAAAATAATGATGAAAAGATCTAGTCTTCTGACTTAGATATATTCTGAGATTCTATAGCAATACACCAAGTACCAAGTAGTGATATTCATGCAGTAAGTGCTGTAGGTGACAAGTAAGAAAGCCAAGACCAGCTATGGCAGCTTCTGATTCCAGAGAGACTAAAATTTACCATGAAATATAAATTAGATGTGTGTATATGTAGATAATATGATTGAGAAAGTTTTAGATGGAGCTGGTCAGCATGAACAAAGGTTTGTAGGTTGGAATGGATTTGTATGAGGGCCATAAAGAACTAAGCAGAGGATTAAATGTCTTCATTGAAATCTGGATATGAAGTTCCCCTTGTAGATAGTGAAGGATCACTATGAGGTGATCTACACCCCAAAGGAGGAGGTCTTTGCAGAGGAGCATTCCTGGGATCGTTTCTGATTTATAGTTAGCTGTGCCCAAGCTCTACTTTTAAAAAGCTTTTAATTTTTAAATTGTATTTCTTTTAATTGGATGAATAATTCATTAATACAGTTTCATCGTAAATACTTCAAACACCAAAAAGCCAAATTCCCTTCACCATCATCTCCAAAATCATTTCTGTTCCCAAGGAATCACTGTTTCCTATTCCTCTACTGACTTCTCAGCCAAGTTCACAGAATCCCATTTAACCCCTGCCTGGATGGTGGTGAAGTCATTGGTGAGGTCATGAGGCAGAGATCCAGAGACTACCAGGGACAGAGTTAGAGAGGGAAGAGGGCACCCTCTTCCAACTCTGGTGCTGCTCAGCAACCAACACAATTTCAACCTCCATTTCTAGGAGCTATTTCTGCTTTTCCTGTTTCTCAGTCCATTTCCAGGAGTTCCTCTCATACTTCCTCTCCCTGCAGAACGGTTCCAGAGTGCACTGAACTTCAAAGACTGCTCATGCTCTCATCTCTTCTAAACGTAACATTTGTGCTCATTGTGCACACTGTATACATGTGTTGAAATATCACATTGAGCCCCATTAATAGATTCAACTAATGGAAATTAATTAAAATATTTTTTAAAGTAGCTAATTCAGATGCAAGCTAAACTGACTAAACAATTGACACTTTGGTATAAGGTTTTCAAACTCTACCTTTTATTCAGACTCCTAGTCCTTGGGAACTAGCTTAGCACTTGTAGATGCTCAACAAATGCAGGTTGACTTGAGCTTAAACATTTTCATTTATTTGCATTTTTCACAAAGAAAATTTATATTGACAATTACATTTACAACTGGGGACTCTGTGCCAGTTCAGGAAAGTCAGGCAAAGCATTTCAAGCCATGTGAATAGGTCTCTTTGTGGGGGGAATTCAGGTGGGCACAGGTTGCACCTGGCTGGGAGCCAGTTCCCTGCAACTACTCCACTGCCCAGTTTCTCTCTAGCCCAGTTTCTGAATATAAAATGTTTTTGAAAATGTTGCAAGTATCTTTTAAGTACCGTTACGGTGGTTGAGAGTAGTGGCAGGGTGTCTAGCAAGTTGGGAACTGAAAGTGAAGGAAGGAAACCCTTTGTACTTATGGGGCCTGCACTAGCGRTGCCTATTCTACAGAACTCTGATCCATGTGGAAATAGTAATACCTGAAGGACCATTTACCAGATATGCAATTTATTACATGTTTTTTTATCACTCAGCTAGATGCATATTTTTCTTCTTCAAGCCCAATATAAGCACATGGCTCATTTGCTTTCTTAACTTTGGTTCCTGAGGGGTCAAAATTGTGTCTCTTATGTTATAAGGGCAAGGTCAGGGAGGAGACTGCAAATGAAGGCATTTTGATGATAGTAATGATGTTGATCTTGACCTCCTCTGCCAGGATAAGTGGGAGAAGATTTGCAGCACTCAGGACACAGCTGTGGAGGTTTTTGAACACATCAACTTGATGGCCCTGGACATAATCATGAAATGTGCTTTCAGCCAAGAGACCAACTGCCAGATAAATGGGTCAGTGACAAGAGAGCAAAACAGATATTTGTTCATCATTATCTAAGTCAATTATTGACACAGTGTCCTAACTTTATTTTCTAGCTCCCTTGATCCTTATGTAAAAGCAACGGTTGAACTCGGCAAAATTATATTTTATCGCATGTACAATTTCTGGCACCACCATGACGTAATTTTCAAATTCAGCCCTAATGGCCACCTCTTCCAAGAGTTAAGCAAAGTGCTACATCAACACACAGGTAAATACATGGGTATTTCTTGGATTTGATTTGCCCAAGTCCATATATCATCATTAATTGTATTGTGGCTATCAAGAGGGAWAAGCCTCAGTGTGAACAGAAAAAAATTATTGTTCTTAATGGAGCTTTTATATGGACAATGCTCAAATTAAATACAATTTGAGTCCTTTAGAAGAGTTTGCTACATCCATAGTAGTAATTAGTCTTCTCAGGACTTCTCATTATGTTATGCAATTTTTATTTTGTACAGTTATTAATACAAACATAATAAGTGGACTCTTAAGATTTCGAAACATATAGAACATATAGGTTTTGTGCAGTTATTGCAGTAATAATTATAAGTTAAAAGTACTCATGCAATGTAGGAATGGATGGGAGAAAGAGTAGACATGGAAATGCACCAAAAGAAGCTTGATTAAAAAATATGTTTATGTTAGCAAAGTGTAAACTCAAAAATTAAAATAGAATAAATTTTTAAGCAATTCAACATTACTTTTCATAAGTATCATAATAGAGAATACTCACCCGGAAGTCTATCCTTCATGAACTCCATCATTAACTAGCAGCATGACTTTGGACAGTTACTGCTTTGTTTCAAAGTCATCTRAAAAATGGTGATTTAAAAATAAACCTATCTCATAGGTTTCTGGTGATGATGAGTGTGCTAATACATGTAAAAGGTTTAGGATGGTACCTGGCACTGGATAAATATTAAATATAAAGTATAGTTACAATATCTTTGCCCCCAGGAAACTTTCAARACTCACCAATACATGCATATTCACACTTACATATACACATAGATACTATAAGGAGAACATTCAGTGAAGCAGGTTAGAAACAATTTAAGATACAAGTGGGCATTACATCTTTATAGTAATAGTCCTCAAATGTTTTTGCATCATGGATCACAGAAAATATTAACTTTTATATGGTTCATTGGAGTAAACAGGAGTGGATTTGAGGACAACTACGTATGACTTTGATGATTCTTTACATTTTCATTATGTATAATTATGATGAAAAAACAAAATCAAAAGTATTAGAGAAAATATTAAGTGTCCAGGTTGTTGAAAACTTTAAAAACAAAACATTTTCAGTTGTGCATGCCATAGTCCCAGTAACTTGGGATGCTGACGCAAGAGGATTGCAAGTTCAAGGCAGTCTCAGCAACTTATCGAGGTGCTGAGAACTCTGTGAGACCCTGTCTCTAAATAAAATACAAAATAGGGCTGGGGTGTGGCTTAGTGGTTGAGTGCCCCGAGTTCAATCCCTGGTACCTCCAAAAAAAWTWTTTTAAATAACCTTCTGGGGATTTTAATTGTGAGTATGTTGAATCTAAAAATCAAGTAGGGAAGAAGTGACATCTTGACAATATTGAGTCTTCCTATCTATATACATACATGGAATATTTTTTTCATTTATCTAGATAAATTTTATTTTTTTCTTCAGGTTTTTAAAGCATTCCTCATAATGGATTTGCACATCTTTTGTTACATTTATACGAAGTATTATGTTTTTCAGAACTAATGTACATAATATTCTGTTTTTAATTTCAAATGCCAAATGTTTGTTGGTAGTATATAAAAAATCACTTCTATTTATTAACTTCATATCCTACAACCTTGTCATAATTACTTACTAGTTTCAGGTGTTTTTTTGTTGAATCTTGGAGATTTTTCTACTATCATAACATCTGTGGATAATCATAGTTCTGTTTATTCTTTCCTAATCTGTAAACTTTATATTACTTTGTCTTATTGTATCAGCAAGGATTTCCAGTAAGATGTTGAATAGGAGTGGTGAGAGAAGACCTCATTGCTTTATTCCTGACTTTATTGAAAATATCAAGTTTCTCATCATTATCTGTGATGTACACTTAGGGGTTTTGTAGATATTCTTTGTCAAGGTGAGGAAGTTTTCCTTCTGTTCCCAATTTGCTGGGATTTCTTTTAAACATGAATAAGTGTTAAATTTTGACAAATGGCTTTTCTGTATTTACTGATTAATTGTACTCTTTCTTCTTTACGCTGTTAATCAATAAGTTACATTGATTGATTTTCAAATATTGAACCAGCCTTGCCCACCTGGAGTAAATACCACTTTTTTTTTTTTTTAATATTTATTTATTTATTTTTTAGTTCTCGGCGGACACAACATCTTTGTTGGTATGTGGTGCTGAGGATCGAACCCGGGCCGCACGCATGCCAGGCGAGCGCGCTACTGCTTGAGCCACATCCCCAGCCCCTAAATACCACTTTTGTTGAATTTTTGCATCTATGTTCATGAGAGATATCAGTCTGTGGTTTTCTTGTAATATCTCTGTCTTATTTAGGTATGAAGGTAATGCTGGCTTCATAAAATGARTTAAAGTATTCTACTTCTATTTTATGGAAGACACTGTATAGAATTCATTTGATTTCTTCCTTAAATGTTTGGTAAAGTTCACTAGTGAGATTATCTGGGCCTGTTTTTTTTTTTTTTTTCCTGTTCTGGAAGGTTCTTAATGATTGATTTAATTTCTTTCGTGGATACAGAACTCTTTTAATCTGTCTCTCATGTGAGTTTTTTGAAGATTTTATCTTTCAAGGATTTAGTCCATTTCATCTGGGTTGTTTCTTTATTGGGTGAAGTATTCCACATATGTCAATTAGATTCAGTTGATAGATGGTATTGTTGGTTTTAACTGTGTGCTTCCTGATTTTTCTACACTGGATTTATAATAGAGAGACAGTGAAGTATCCAAATATTCTATCAGTTTTTGCCTCTTGTATTTGGATGCTTGTTGTTATGCATACACATTAAGGATTTTTGATGTGCTCTTAAAGAATTAACCTCGTTATCATTATAAAATACCTTCTTTATCTGTTGCCTTTCCTTGCTCTGAAGTTTATTCTGCCTGGAATGAATATAAATACTCCAGCCTTCGTTTGCTTATTTATTATGGTTTACCCTTCTTCATTTCTTTACTTTTAATCTGTATGTATCTTTATATTTAAGGTAAGTTTCTTATAGACAACATGCTGTGTCTCATTTTTATGTACTCTGACAGTCCATCTTTCAATTGGTACATTTAGATCACTGGTGCTTAAAAGAGATAAATGATATATATAGTTGGATTAGTAGCTACCAGATTTATTACTGCTTTCTACTCACTGTTTTTGTTCTTTGGTCTTCCATTCTTTTCCTACCTTTTATGGGATTTTAATAAAGTTCTTTTTTTTACATTTATTTATTTTTTTAATGTGGTGCTGAGGATCAAACCCAGTGCCCCAAACATGCCAAGTAAGCTCCCTACCACTGAGCCACAACCCCAGCCCACCTTATGTAGTTTTTAATTCAGTGTTTTCTATGACTCAATTTTTTTCCACTCTGTCAGCATATCAATCATACATCTTGCTTTTGTCAGTGGCCATACATATCTACAGTTAATCCAAGTCTACTTTCCAGTAACACTACACTACTTCACTGGTAGTGCAAGCACTTTCTGGCTGAGTATTCCCGATTTCTCCCTCCTGTCCCTCTATAGCATTACTTGCCATTTATTCCACTTATCTGGAAAATATAATCATTAAGTATATTGTTACTGAAATTACTTGAGACAAACTGTAATCTGTTAGCTCAGTTAAAAATAGGAAAATCAAAAGACCTACATTTTACCTTCACTTATCCCCTAACRCTCCTTTCTTTGTGCAGATCTGAACTTCTGGTCTGTATCATTTTCCTTCTTGCTGAAGAACTTCTTTTTAACATTTCTTACAAAATATTTCTACTGTAACAAATTTACTCAATTTTATATGTCTTAGAAAGTTCTCCTTAATTTTTAAAGATGATTTCTCTGGGTACAAAATTCTAGGTTAATGGGATTTTTTTTTCTTTCAACACTTCAAACATTTCACTACACTTTCTTTTTGCTTGCCTAGTTTCTAACAAGAAGTCCAATGTGATTCTTATGCTTGGTCCTCTATAAATAAGGTGTTTTTCCTGTGTTTTCTTTAATGATTTCCTGTATGTTTTGTGCAGTTTGAATATGCTGTGCATATGTGTATTTTTATATCATCCTATATGGCATTCTCTGAGTTCCTTGGATCTGTGATTTGGTGTTATTAATTTTGGAAAGTTCTCAGTCATTTATTGCTTCAAATATTTCTGTTTCTTTCCTCCTTCTCCGTGTGTGTGTGTGTGTGTGTGTGTGTGTGTGTAAAGGTAGGTAGCACCTTCATATTTTTATCCATTTCTTCTATGAAAGTAAATTGTTTTTCTGTTTCTATTTCAGTCGATTTTGTTACATTACTTTCCATTTTATTTGAGTTTTAAAATATATGTGAGTAGCAGGAAATAGTCAATTGTAACTCAAAAATATTTCTGCAAATAAAAGTTATTTTCCTATTAYGCTGGAGGCCTTTGACTTAAACATATGCAGGCAGATTTACCTTTGTGCTGCCTGATGGGAGTTGTAATTATAGATTATTTAGGTAATAAAAGAGTTGGTTCTGATGGGCATGAGACAAAATGGCCTAGTAGAAGAACCCTTTGAGGAATTTGGCAAGTCACAAGAGTGAAGGCAACAAAGGGGAAACTATTCCAAGGAGAGAAAGAAGAGAAACTCCAGGAATCAATAAATGAGTAACAGAAAGCCTAAAATGCATAGAAACAGAGGAAAGGCAACTCTGAGTAAAGTACAAAGCATTTTACAACCTCAGCCCTGACTCCCCAGCTGAGGGAGGTGAACCCAACCCTGCAAGCCCAAGGTAAAAGGTCTGTTACTTGAAGTATATATCTTCTTAGCGATTGTCTTGTGATATCATGACTTTTAGTACYAAAAAATGAATCTTGTTTTAATAAGTTTTGTTCAAATTCTACTTTGTCCAATATCAAGATTACAACCCTGCTTCCTTGTCATTTCTGATTGTCTGGTATAATCTCACCTATCCTTTTATGTTTAGCCATTCAGAATTACTTTGTTTTAGGTATGTTTCTTCTATGCAGCACATAGTTGCATTTTATTTTATGAGCCAGTTTTAAAATCTTTTTATTTCAGTAAGCAAATCATTCTCATTCTCATTCATTGAAATGATTGTTATACATGGTCACAGTGCTGTCATATAATTATGTTATCATTACTGTGTGTATTATGGTATAATTACTGTATTTACTTATTAAAGTTGTCATAACAAATGATCACAAACTAGAACAGATGTTTAGAACAGACTTTTTCTCTATCACAGTTCTGGAGGCTACAACTACAAAGTATTGGCAGGGCCATGTTTCCTTGGGAAGGCTCTAGAGAAGGCTCTTGCCTTCTCCTTCTACCTCCTAGTGTCTGCTGATGATCCTTGGCATTCCTCAGCTTGCAAATGCATCACTATTATTTCTGCCTGTCTTCAAATGGTTGATTTCTCTCTGTTTCCAAATTCCTCTCTTCTTTTAATAATACAAGTCATTGAGGTAGGTCCTACTCTAATCCAATACAACTTTATCATAACTTGRTTGCTTCCACAAAGACTATATTTTTGAAATAAGGCCTCCTTCACAGCTCTTAKTAGATATGAATTTGGGGGAGACATTATTCAATCCACTATATAGTTTCTTTATACAGCATGTCATCTTTGGTCTTTTTAAATATACTGCCTTTGATATTTAAGTTGTTTATATTTTTTAATTTTTTATTTGTTCTTTTTAGATACCCAKGACAGAAGAGWRTATTTTSACATATTATACATACATGGAGTATAAAGATGTTTATGTTTTTGTTCTGAGGCTACCATAGTATTTATTTCCTTTGTAGAATCCTTAGTCTCCTACTTTTCTTTATTTAACCTTTTACTGTTYTAAGAGGTCTAGCTTGCCAGTTTTTGTATTGTGGTAAAATGTATATAATTTAGCMTTTGCCATCTTAACCTTTTGCAAGTGTACACTTCAGTGACTTCAAGTATATTGACATAGTTGAGCAACCAACTGCTCTTTTAATGAAGTRGTCATCTCTGTAGATTCCTCAGAATGGGTTCATGAGCACARCATTCCCTGAGTTCTTCCATGTTTAAAACAAGTTTTTTCCTATAGCCTTGATACTGTAAGGACAGTTTGTCTACATATAAAATATTTATCTCATACTTTGTTTCCTTGAGTTTCTTGGAAATGTTCTACTATTGTCTTGATTTCTTTACTGTTTGTCTCAAGTTTGAGCTAGCCCAATTTTCTCTTCCCTAAAACTCATTTAATCTTTTTGTCAGAAGTCTCTGAGGATTTTTTTTCCTCTGTCTTTAATGCTAAATATTTTTACTAGGTATATATCACAATTGGTCATTCTGTTCCAATTTTTCCAGGCAGAGACTAGGTCCTTTCATATAGAGATTTCAATTTTTTATTTCTAGAAAATTTTCTTGGATTATGGTTTTAACTATAGCTCTGTTCCATATGTTTTTGTGGTTTTCCTTTTGGTCCCTTCAAACAAGTATATGTTGGAGGTGGGAGGTTATTTGTTTATTCTTGGTCATTTTTCCATTGTTTTGCCTATCTTCTATTTCATCKGATAATTTTCATGAAGATGATATTTCAGAGGAAAAAAAGAATGATTGATCATTTGAATCTAAATTTGAAATTATCTTAATTATATTGCTTGCCTACTGATATAAACTATGTCTTTGGTTTGTTGTATTTTACTTTGGAACTTTGATCAAAAGTTGTCCATTTGATGGAAAAATAAATCATCTGTGAAAATTAAATCAACTTAAATGTAATGTACCCAGTCTGGTCTCTGAAAAGCCAGCAAAATCTGAAGTTATTCATGGGCCCTGACTTACTTTATAATTTACTTGACTTTGATTGACTTTGCTGCCACTTTGGTAACGGGGAGATATTATTCTACCCAGAAAAGGTAATYCAGGACAGAAAAAAAACCCTCAAGGCTGGAATGAAGCAGGATAACACTCAAAAGAAAAAGTACCAGGATTTCCTGGATATTATCCTTTCTGCCCAGGTAAATCTTCCAAATATCTTAGCCTMATTAATCATCCAGTTAACTATGTGTGTAGGTGGATAAGAGGGGATGGGGTGGGGAAAAAAGCAAAGCTGATCCAATAAATTTAACAGTACTTTGAATTGAGAGGTTGGCTCCATGAAGGTTGGGATAAGGATAGAATTCTGCAACTGTCACTAGACATAGTCATTGAAGACTAAATTATGTATTTGACAGGATTGGGGATTATATAGGTATATGGAGTTTAGGGAATCAAAGGAAAATGGGTCACATGAGTAAGCATGTAAAAAGAGAAGGAGTTGGCACTGGAAAATCTGGATAGATCTGGGAGTCTTAAGAGAATTCCTTGGGTCTGATGAGTGGAAAGCACTTTGCAGTCTGCTTTTCCTATCTAATGTTGGTTCTCCTTTATGCTCTGAATGAGATGTCACTCATAGAATATATTTGTTGAACTGAATTAAAATTGAAACTTTTTTATATCTCTAAGTTTTCCCCTAGAGCCATTAATTTTAATTGGGTCTCCAAAGATCTGTAAACTCGCATCTCATTAAAACATCTCTACTGTACATTCTAGGCTGAAAATGAAGACAGCTTCTCCAATGCTGACCTGCGGTCCGAGGTGAACACGTTCATGTTGGCTGGGCATGACACCTCGGCCGTGAGCCTCTCCTGGCTCCTCTACTGCCTGGCTCTGAACCCTGAGCATCAGGAGAGATGCCGGGAAGAGATCAGGAGCATCCTAGGGGACGGATCTTCCATCACCTGGTAAGATCTACCTCTCTAATCATTTCATTCTAGTTCTCTCCCTGGGATTCTGGGGTATTTTTGCCCTGGTTCCTTAATAATGACAGTGACTCATGATATGTGCATGTGGAAGCAGAAGAGGTAGGCTGTTTCTCTGTTCTTTCTCAAGAAAGCCCCAAGTAAGTGCCTTGTCTTTTGCAAAAGTTCATTCATCCAGAAATTGTCATTGCTTTTCTATTCAGTGGTGTATAAAATGACCCATTTCTTTCTTTCACCTAATCTCTGGCACATTGGAAATGAGGACCTGACCGGAGGCTAGCATTTAGAGTTTGAATGGTTGGGCCCAAGTGGAACTCCTGAGAGAGCTGAATGAACAGCTGCATCATTTAAGGCTCATTGTGGACACTCTCAACCATCCCCTTGTCATCAGTTTCATTCCTCGAGGTGACTTTGGACTTTGAACMTGGTATTCAGTAGGGAGATGTGATGTGGGCTCTGCCCTCAGCGAGCTCACTGTCTAATGCGGACACAGACCTCCATGGGACAAATTGAAATATAGCGTGATAAGGACAATGATAGAGATATGTGCTAGCCACCAGAAAGACTTAGAAGACAGGCACCTAGCCTGGCATGGGGGCTCAAAGTGATTTCCTTAGAATGAGTAGAAGTTAACCACATGGAACACTTCAACTCTACTTTGCTAGGTTTAAGCRTATCTTGTTATTAATAAAGTCCATCTTATGGATTTGCTCCTCAAATATGCTGTTTGCAAAGAAACAACATGTTTCTGACATAAATCACACCCTTCATYCTGCCTGGTGAAAAGGAGCAGAAAGATAGAAATTCTAAGGGTCACTGAGCCACATGACTAGGAAAACAAATATTGTATTTCATATGAGAAGATTAGCTCAATTGAAATATTTGTAAAGCAAAATTTGAAGTTATAAAGGTATAGCAGAGCTATCATTTTATAAGGAATTATAATGATTTCTTAACACAAATTAAAAGCTTAATTTATATAGCATAAAATACAAAATTGGGCAGTCATTTTTATTTTTTGCCGGGGGTGGGGTGGGGTGGGGTGGGGATTGAACTAGGGGGCACTCAACCTCTGAGCACATCCCCAGCCTTATTTTTTGTGTTTTATTAAGAGACAGGGTCTCACTGAGTTGCTTAGTGCCTCACTTTTGCTGAAGCTGGCTTTGAACTCACCTTCCTCCTGGCTCATCCTCCCAAGCTACTGGGATTACAGACATGCACCACCTCATCCAGCTCATTTTTATTTTTAACTGACAAATATGCTTGTGATGTTTTRATACTTGTATAACTTGTGGGATAACTAAATCAATCAGTGGGTATATCTATTAACTTACATACTTATTTTTGGTGATGAGACATTTCAAACCTATCCACTTAGCAGTTTTCAAGTATACAACAAATTGTATGTTGTACTTGCAATGCTACCATAGAATTGCATGATGTGCAATGTATCTCCTGAATTTATTTCTCCTATCTAACCAAAGTTTTGTATCCTTTGACTAGTATCTCCTAGTCCTCAGACCCCTGAAGCACCATTCTACTCTCTGCTTCTAGKAATTCAACTTCTTCAGATTCCTCACGTGATTGAGATCATATGGTCTTTGTCTTTCTGTGCCTGTTTTATTTCACTTAGCATAATGTCCTCCAAGTTTTTCCATGTTTTTGCAAATGATAASATTTCCTTCTTTTTTAATATACTTTTAGTTGTAGATGACACAATACATTTATTTTGTTTTCATGTAGTGCTAAGGATTGAACCCAATGCCTTCCACATGCAAGGCAAGCACTCTACCACTGAGCTACAACCCCAGCCCAAGATTTCCTTCTTTTTAAGAGCTAGATGGTTTCCTGTTGTGTATGTATGCCACATTTTCTCTATCCATTCATCTGATGATGGACACTTAGGTTGACTCCATATCTGGGTTATTGTGAATAATGCTGCAATGAAGATGGGAATGCAAATGTCTCTTTGACATACTGATTTTGCTTCCTTTTGATATATATCTGGAAATGATATTTTTGGATCATATGGTCATTCTATTTGCAATTTTTAATGGAACTTTCATACTTCTTCCTATAGGACTGCATTAATTTTCATCGCCACTGATAGTGTTACAAATGTTCCCTTTTCTCCACATCCCCACCAATGTTTATCTTTCTTTTTTATTTTATTATAGCCATTCTAACATGGTTAGGTGATATCTCATTGTGGTTTTAATTTGCATTTCTCTGATGATTAGTGATGGTGAACATGTTTTTTGTATGCCTGTGGCCATTTGTATATCTTTGAGAAATAGTGTATTCAGGTTCTTTGCCCATTTTTAATTGGATTATTTGTTTTCTTGAGACTGAATTGTGTCAGTTATTATACATTTTGGATATTATTCCCTTATCATATATATGGTTTGTAAATCTTGTCTCCCAGTTTTTAGGCTGTCTCTTCACCTTGTTGATTGTTTCCTTTGTTATGCATAAGCTTTTTGGTTGATGCAAACTCATTTGTCTGATTTTGCTTTTGTTGTCTGTGTTTAGAAAACTATATGTTAAAAAAAATGCTGTCAAGACATGTCAAGAAGCTTCTCCCTTTTGTTTTTTTAGTAGTCTTATAGTTTCAGATTTTAAATTTAAGTCTTTAATCCATTTTGAGTTGATTTTTTTATATGGGRTGAGATAAAGTTCTAATTTTATTCTTCTGCATGTGCACATCTGGTTTTCTCAATACCATTTCTGCCATTTCTCCACAGTGTGTTCCTGGCATCTTTGCTGAAGAATAGTTATCCATAAATATGTGGATATATTTCTGGGCTCTTTAACCTGTTCTGTTGGTTTTTGAGAAGGTGCCATGCTGTTTTGATTAGTAAACTTTATGGCGGTCATCAGATAAGGTAGTACTTTTCACAAAGCACTTTTRCCTGTGAATGGCTGTGGGAACTTCCTATTCTCCTATCCTGCTGAGTAATCATTCTTTATTTATTCATTGATGTGATAACAGTGAATATCACTTTCCAACATGCCTTAGATATTTTAACCTTCACTAGGGTAAATACCTACACAACTAAAATATCACCCTTTCTCATTCTTGTTTGGCCTAAATGGGAAAAGAGTAAGTAACTCTCTGCTGGCTGAGAAAACAAAGTCTAGATGATCTGTTAATTGTCATTTATTTTAATGAGACAAAGGGCAAAAATATTACAAAGAACAAAATGTCTTTTTTTACTGTCACATGTATTTATAGTAATGACATTGGGATGTGGTATTCTGAGAATTTATATTTCCTCTAAACAGGTGCTGCAATCATTCTGCAAAAAGCAATTTCTGGGAAAGCTGGATAGTTGTCCAAGTTTTTCCATTTGGCTCCTTGTCAGACCATTTCTATGTTGGATTAAAATTCTTTCCTATTTTTTTTTTTGCACCATGATTGAGGTGGGCAAATTTTTAATTCTTAATTATATAAAGTGCCAGTGTAAGAATTATTTTTTTTATCCTTAAGGAAAGAGTTCAAAACTAAAATTTCATATTACCAAATGGACAAATTCTGCATTCACAGTAAGTAATAAGAAAAGAAAATACGGGCTGGGGTTGTAGCTCAGTAGCAGAGTGCTTGCTTAGCATGTGTGAGGCACAGGGTTTGATTTTCAGCACCATATATAAATAAATAAAATAAAGGTCCATTGACAACTAAAAATATACTTTAAAAAAGAAAAGAAAATACAAATACAATAAAGTGAATAGACTAAATATATATGCAGTTATTACTTTTGAACCAAACTGACTAACTAGAATGCAAATTAAAAATACAACTTTATTCTTCTGCTGACACTTCAGACTTGCTCTATTGAGCAAGTTCTTTCATCTCCAGGACAGAATCCTGAGATCACATAGAGGTCTCATCCATTTAAATCACAAGAGTAGTCTCATGTCCAYGATTGAACTGTCCAGCCCCATATAATAGTGAGACCTTCAAATGCTCATCCTCTTGGAGCATCTCCCTCCATCCCAGTTTGGCACTTCTTTGGGCCTGGAAGCCAACAGAGAGTGAGGACTTTTTTGCTGTCTTGTCCTTATTGATCAGCTCCTCCCCTACCTGGAAGCTGTTCTTTCTGACTCTTCCAGGAATGATTGGGGCTGGGGAGAAAAGAAGGGGAAAAGGTCTGTAACTACCGTGATCTGTTCAGGGGGGTTGGTGGATATTTAATGCTTCCCTTTCTCTCACATCTGTGGGTCTCTTGGAGACTCCATGATTCCCAGGGAATTCTGGTCCTGGGCAGAGCCTTTCTCCAGCTGAATCTGGAGCTCTCTCTCCCTCCCTCTGCTCGGTTTGTTGGTCCATAGGACACATTGGCACATTTCTACTGTGCAGCTGCTCTCCCCTGCCTCTCTGTCCATTCTGAGCCTCTCTTATCAGTCCTGTGGTGCTCCCCAAACTCCAGGGGGCACTCGTCAGACACTAGTTGCCCTAGTGAAGCTTCCCTTTGTGTGTTGGAGATGGGCCAGCACCCTCTTCCATTCTCCATGGCACTCCAGTATTCCAACAATTCTCTTTAAAGGATTTTTTTTTTCTCTATTAAACTTCTCTAGCCTTTTCTCCTCATTCCTTAGTTATTCCTTATACATTCTTGCCAGGGTAAGAAGAATTACTCTTTTTTTTTTTTTATCCTAAGCTTAGGGAAAATGTTCAAAACTAAAACTAGAATTTCACATTACCAAATGGCCAATATGATGAGCTAAGGGTTGCAAAATTGGTTTTCAGAAATCTCCTTGGCAAGCCTTTTGCTGTTAGATGAACACCTCATTATATAATGAGGGTATGTGGCCCCTCTTTTTTTTCCTCTACCTCTGGGACCTCACCTGATCCTGAGGTGGAAAGTCCCATTTTAATGATCTTATACATAAACCTTTGACAAATAACTTTAACCTGAGAGTAGTGTGTATTCGGAACAAACAAAAGATAGGAAAATATCATTATTTACAACCAGATCTGAAGTCTGAGACCCWTCCCTCCCTCCCTCGTCCTCACAGGGACCAGCTGGGTGAGATGTCATACACCACAATGTGCATCAAGGAGATGTTCCGATTGATTCCTCCAGTCCCGTCCATTTCCAGAGAACTCAGCAAGCCCCTTACCTTCCCAGATGGACGCTCCTTGCCTGCAGGTCTTTGTATTCTTTTCCTAAGCAGTTCCTAGAGACCATGGGATCTTGGGGACCACAATGACAATGATTGGTGGGTTTCTACCCTCAGGGCCTCTGGCTTATGGTTAGGCATCTATCAATAGCTCAGAGGATAATTCCTTGATCAGATTTCAGTTTCAGTGACTCTCCCAAGGCACGCAGCCAGTTACTGCAAAGCTAAGCTCATAACCTACATTTCCAGAATCCAGCCCAGGCTTTCTCCCATTGTAAGGTGTTGTTTCTAAGATAATATTTGTTAGGGCTGAATTTGAGACCCAGATGAGACTTCATGGGAGATGAGCATCATTATCTTATTCTGAGAGACCCAGAGRGATTTACTTTTTGCCTCATCATCATAATATCACCCTAAGTTTGAAACACTTAATATACATAGGGCCTTTAAACATTTTCTCATTTTCACCCCTTGGAATTTGACTTCTACAGTGTTTTACAGTTTTTTTAAAAAAAATTAAAATACTTTTGATGTCACCAATAACCTGGGAGAACCCCAATGTACAGACGAGATTAACTGATATAAGCAAAGCTAAAATTCATGCAGAGGCCCCATACTCCAAGCTTAGACTTCTGGGCCGGGCATATAAGATGCAGTGGGATCACACAAGACATTCTTTCACTGTCTGCTTTAGTGCCCCACTAACTGCCTTAGGAAGCTAGTCAACGGGATTGCTTGTGGAAAACACCGACAACCTCTCCTGTAACTTGTTTGATAGATCCAGAATTAATTTACCAGGATTATTTCTAGTAACAAAATAAGTCTCAAATTCTCCTTTGTCTTTTTTATCCCCAAACTATATGAATATTTGCCAAAATTCCCCATTTTCCATGTCTGAACTGCATCAACAAAAATTGGCCACTGGATCTGCATGATACAATTATAGTTCTGTTCTTAACATACCCAAGTTGTTGCTAGTGGGTGCAACATATTTCATTTACAGACATTTAAGTAATTTCCAAATGTGGAAAAAAACATAAGCATAGTTTAGCACTTTGATATGACACCAAGAGCTCTCTAGAATAAAATCATGAATTAAGTAAATCATTGCCCTGAAAACTAGGGTATAAATCCAAGTCTCCTCTTCCCCTGTGTCCCTCTCTGGTGGCATCAGCTCTGCCACACAGCTCTGCCAGGAGCTAGCTCTCCTCCCAGAATAAAAGTCTTTCAGAGAAACAGTATAGCAGTAGTCCAGTTTGTTCTTTCTCCTGTATTCTTCTTTATGTCCCTCCTGCCTCAGGAATCACCGTGGTTCTCAGTATCTGGGGTCTTCATCACAATCCTGCTGTCTGGAAAAGCCCAAAGGTATGACTCTCTTCCAACAGACATTCTTCAGAGTACAAACGCTACCCAATTTATTGGGGGGCAGCTGAGCATGAACATGGCTCTACAGTTTAAGCAAATAGCTGAAAGCAATCAAAAAATAGACATAAAACTCCAAAATGAATAGAACTTGACCATTAATGGGAACTTACCGTCTTTCCCCACTCCTGCTTTACCTTTGCTTTGAATGAACAGATTGACATAATGTCACACAGACTGCTCTAAATTGCTGCAATTTCTATTTTAGCCATTTCCCTGTAAAGCTCCACCAAGCATTTATTTAGATATCTCCAAGACTGAGGCCTGACAATAGAGTTATTCAGGAAACTCCGTCTCTCTTTTGCAGGACGGAACAATAGAGATCTTAGCAGAAAATCAATGACACGCTCAAGTTGGGTGATTTGAATGTGTTGTAAGGAACTATTATGAGGATGTGGGCAGGGTTTAGGAAAAGCACATTAGAACAGACATCTGCCAGAAGTGTTTATCTCTTCTAGGCCTGATGATACCCAGGAGGGAGGGTTACAGAACCTGGAGAGAATGAACTTCAAGGGGAAAGGCCATCAGATAGGAGCTGTGGTAGAGATGCAGCCAAGCTGAGGCAGCAGGCAGAGAGGAGCCAGGGAGTAAATACAGGGAACTCCATCCTCCCACTCTCCAGAGCCGTTATCAGTGTCTATTATTGTCCAAACCCAATGGAAAACCAYGTGTGTCAGCTTCCTGGGGCCCAGAATAGTCTGGGAAATAGAGAGAGAGAAAGAGGATCTAGACAGGCAAAGAAGAGATGTGTTGCAGCATTGAGTTCCTTGATTCAATATTTTTGAAACTCAAGTACTCAAGTACCAGTCCTATCTTTACATATGCCAGCAGGGTTTCAGCTCTAACCTGGTCTACCTGTCCTGGTAATTAATAACTATGGAATTATGTGGCTTTGACTTCTACATGAGTGCACTCTCACTTCCAAAGTAAGAATAATGCCACTTGTCATATTTTTGCTTCCCCTTTACTCTGACTGGCAGACAAGTCAATTAGTAGCCAAAGTCTGCAGGTCTAGAGGTGTATTGTGAGGGAAGCAGCTCCTAGCCTACACTGAGCTACTGCACACTTGAACGTGGCTAATCAGGATTGAGATATGTACTTTAAAGACGTAGTACAAAAACAATGTGAAGTATTTCCTTAATAATTATTTATACTAATTATATTTTGGAACAATAGAATTTGGGGGTTAAATAAATTCTACTCTAAAGAGTAATTTCATCTTTTTAAAAGGTGCCTACCAAGGCATTTTAAATTGCATATGAGGTTTACATTGTTTCTGTTGAGCAGTATGTGGTAACTTTAAGAAATATGTTAATATTGTTTTGGGGATGGTTGTGGGGTTGTCTTCTTATTGCAGATCTTTGACCCATTGAGATTTACAAAGGAGAATTCTGATCAGAGACACCCTTATGCCTTCTTACCATTCTCATCTGGACCAAGGTGAGGACAATATGAAGTTGCTGAAAATATACAAAAATGTTCAGTTAGGAGTCACTTCCTTTAGACCCTCAGGTCTATAAATTCTTCCATGGAACCTCATTGTCTCATAAGGCAGATCTTGGTTTAAAAAAAAAAAAAAAACAACTCTGAAAGGATCAGTGAGTTTCACAAAGGATATCACGATTATCTTCACATCTTATGTAGCCATGCCTCAGAAAGAGATCATACAATGTAAACTATTGCTCATGGACTCCATGGAGTCCATCATCAATGCAGAAGAAACAGGTAATTCCAACTGCCATCTTATGTAGGGAGGACATCATKTTGGAGCCTCCCATCCATCTTCTTACAGGGAACAACATAAGGCTAGAGTCCAAGTTTCAGTGACATTTAATGTGAAAATGTTACTTTGCTATAAACTTTAGACTTGTGATTCTAGAAATTTATTAGAGTCAGGAGGAATATCATTGCTCCAAGCACTACTTTCTCTTCCTCTGTGTCTTCAGGAACTGCATCGGGGAGCAGTTTGCCATGCTGGAGTTAAAGGTGGCCATTGCCTTGATTCTGCTCCACTTCAAAGTGACTCCAGACCTCACCAGGCCTCCTGTCTTCTCAAACCACATTATCCTCAAACCCAAGCATGGAATCCATTTGCACCTGAAGAAATTCCCTGAGTGCTAGATCCACAAGTACAATGACTTAATATACTTTGTTTTTAAGTCACATTTACAGTTAATGGTTCAAGCAAATAGAGAGGAATCAACATGCGGTAAGAGGGTTGGAGATAGATGGATTAAGGGATATCTGTAGAGCTGCACATTCCCTAAGGACATTTCCAGGTAACTCCTAACACTGTTTGTTTGTGTGATTCCAACTATCATTAATACTATATACCAAGCACTTTGCTAAGTGACTTCCAAACATATTCTGTTGTTTTTTTAAAAAGTTTTTAGAATTACATGATAGATGAATATATAAATATTTGCTGTAAAAGAAATTCAACATTAGAAAAGCATGTAGAATAAATTAAAAATTTCATTTTACCTTGCCCATACTGAATGCCCTGACCAATCCTACTACCTTTAAAAAAAAAAGAATAATTTGGTATGTATTATTTCATATTTTTTCCTATATATTTCACATATATACACATAGGAATGTATTCTTACCAATGGGTTCATATCAATATTGTTCTTGCTTTTCTCACTTAATAAAAGTCTATCTCATTCCAAGGATTTATGGTTTTCTATAATATGAATATTCTATTACTTATTTGACTATTTTCCTCATTAGATATATGTTATTATAATTTTTAAAATGTATCTATTGGCCATTTATGTGCCTATTAGMCATTTATCTTTGATTTGTTCTCTGTGATTTGTCTGCACATCATCTGTTTGTTTTTCTATGATGTTGTATTTCTCTTATTTACTCATATATGTTCTTTATATATTGTGGATAATAATCCTTGATTATAACTTTTTGTATTCTTTTAATTTCTTTTAAACTGCATTTATAATGTCTTTTAACATGCAAAACTTTTTCATTTTCATGACCCAAGACATATACAAGTTTTTCCTTATGTTTTCTGAGTTTTGATTCTTGAATAAGAAAGCCTTCATTTTGAATATTACAAAAATATTCCACATATTTTTCTGGTGCTAGCCATTCTTGTGAAGCCTGAATGGGGAATTTGTTAATAATTTCCATATCCATCACTCATTGAAGCCTAATCAGAAATCTAGTCTTATTTTTAAGGGTAAGGGAAGCCCTTTAAAGGTTTTGCACCACAGGAAGGACTTGAGGTTAGAAAAGTTTGCATTTGTTATATGGAGGAGCAAGAGTGGAAACAAAGAAAAGGGCCCAGTCAAAAAGGTATTATGATCGTACAGGTAAGAGATGRTGTTGCCTGACAAGGATGGTGGCATTGAAGTTGAAGGTAAATGGGTGTGAGAAGGATTTTGATGGTGTTTGGTAGAGTAGATAGAATTTGTTAATTGGTTGAAAGTACAGAATCAGTAAAGGGAGATAATCCAAGATTTGAGAAGCCTTGGTTACAAGACTATCACATCCAACCATGGAAGCACTTTTGATAACATTTGTGATCACCAGACATCCATCAGTGCTTTGCCTTTTGACATTTTGAGTATAGGGAAATCCTGTAATGAAGGATATCAGACCTGAGGGCTGTAATAAGAACAGAAGTTTAGTGTGAGAGAGAGTAACTTGTGGGATCAAGAATTCCCTTAGCCAGATGGAAAATCCACCATCTTGGATTTAATGAAATCCGTATACTGCCAAAGATGTATGAGGGTATAGATAGGATTTTGCCCTCAAATATAGTGATTCCAAATGCCTCCTAAAAAAATATCTAGCAAGTTCACATAATTCTGACATAGTTCCTACTTTCTTTCTGTCTCCTCTGTATCCATTTGTATGATCGTGAAAGACCCTCAACTACCAACTTCACTGGTTTAATTGGTAATCTATACACAGTGCTTCAGTGCCAAGGAGGGAGACAGCGGAGCTTATGTGATCACAGTGGCTATGGTCATGAGTGCTTAAAGCATTCTGGAACTTACAGCAGTAATCATACTTGTGATGGACCTGAATGGAGATTTCCTTTATAAATGTACCTGTATGTCTTTTGGAAATCTGGATGATTATTGATTACTGAACCCTAAATGTTGTGAACGTGGTGAACCCTGTTCCAGTTACTATTTCTATTTCTATTTTAAAAGCCCCATCCCAGGCCCTTCTTCAATGGGCCAGTTGGTTGTGGCAGAGATGACTCAGCAACATTTCTTCCATGTGCTTTGTTCACTCCTACAGAAATAGAAGGTCTAGCTGAGTGCAAAGCTGCCAGCTACAGACTGCATTGTCTAATCTCCTTTTCAACTAGATGCCTGCTGGAACTAGATTTGGGGCAGAGCTGTAAGCAGAAGTGATATGCACAACTTCCAGCTAATATCTTAAAAATATAAGGTCCATGATCTCCCTTCCCCCTCTACTGCCTTCCTACTTTACTGAAGGCAGATGGGGTGACAGGAGTAGAACCACTAGATCAGACCATTAGCTGGAGGCTTTGTGTTCAAGATGCAGAACTAGAKAGAAGGAGCCTCATGACTGCAGGACCCTGTAGAACCACCTTCCTACCTCTGGGCCACCCACCTCCTTAAGACTACAACATTACCTCTCTCTATACCAGCTCATTCCTTGGGCCACCAAATGTCTGGGTTTATTTTCTTCCCAAATATGAAGACATTTACCCCCTCCTCAAGGATGCTAACAAAATGTCTAGCTAGCTAAAAGACCAATGTCTCTAACTTATGCACATTTCTCTTCATCAGCCTGGGTGTGAGTGACTCTTTGTGTTCCAGGGGCCTATGAACTAAAAGACAAGGTATATTCACCCTTTATCCAATATACATGATAGAGCCGAGTTAGAGAAACTGCAGTGAAAACTCCCAACTCTATCCCTTTAAACTTGCTATACATGACTGTGTAATCAAGCTTGGGCCAATGGATATAAATAAATTCGATGTGTGCAACTTGGCTGCTCATCCTGGATTTTTTTTCCTCCTTTTCTGTCTTAGTCTGTTTTCCATTGCTATAACTGACTATCACAGACTAAATAATTTATTTAAAAAATAAATTTATTTCTTATAATCCTGAAGCTGGAAATCCCAAGGTCAAGGGGCTACATCTGATGGTCTTCTTTTTGAAAGCAATTCTGCAGAGTCCCAAGGCAGCACAGGACATCACGTGGTAGATGGAGCAAATTTTTATTTTTTATTTTTTTAAAGAGAGAGAGAGAAGTTTAATATTTATTTTTTAGTTTTCGGCAGACACAACATCTTTGTTTGTACGCAGTGCTGAGGATCGAACCCGGGCCGCATGCATGCCAGGCGAGCGCGCTACCGCTTAAGCCACATCCCCAGCCCAGAAGGAGCAAATTTGATAGCTTGGGTTTCTCTTCCTCTTCTGAAAAAGCCACTAATTGCATCTTAGAGGTTCCATTCTTATAACCTCATCTAATTCTAACTACCCTCAAAAGGCCTTGCCTCTAATATCATTAACAGATGATTTGAGCGATTTAAGTTTCCAACACACACCTTCTGGAGAACACCCCAAACAACAGCACTTTCCCAAGGGCTGGAAAGGCAAAACCTCAGTCTTGTCTTAGAAGTGAGATTGATATTTTAGGGGATGGTAGATAGACATGGAAGAAAGGTGGGTTCCTGAAAACTTCATGGACCATAGCTTCTCCATGAGCCTGGGCTGTCCAGATGATTGATGATGTGAGAAATAAATAATCATATCTTTCCCTGTGTTTTGGTTTCTGTTACCAGCTGACCTTCACCTAAATTAATATATTCCTCCAATTCCAAAAACCCTTCCTGTACCCCAAGAGGTCAAGATTTCCTGACTTCTGTAATACCTTCCTTTGTTTTAGAGTATAGTTTTATTGCTGAAGTATGCAACTTTAAATACTGGAGTTTAGTTTTTTGTTGCTTTTGAAGTACACATGAATAAAATCATAATTTAATTTGGCTTGTTTTATATCCATTTCACACCTTTTTAAGAGTAGCTGTACTTCAGTCATTTTCATTGCAGTATAGAATTCCATTATGTATTCACCACAATTCATATATCCATTCCAGTCTTGATGAACATTTAGGCTATTCTTAGGTTTGGTTCAGCTTTGATAGTATAAATAATGCTTCTATAAAGCAACCTCATTACATGTATCTTAGTATACAAACACACACCTTTAACAGTGGAATCGATAGGGTATAACATAATTATATATGTAAATATAGTATATAATACGTTTACAGTCTTTCCAACAATGTATGGAAGTTCCCATTGATCCACAAAATCTCACCATTGCCGCTTGGTGCTGCCTGATTTTTTTAAACTTAATTTGGTGAGAGTGTATCTCTTTACGGTTAGATTTTTTATTTCCCTGGTGGCTAATGAAGTTGAAGATTTTCACATGTGTTAGGTGGATTGGCAATCCTCTTTGCAATGCCCTTGTTAGACTCTGCCTATTTTCCACTGAGTTTTTCTCTTCACATAGGTGTCTAGGCATTTGTTATACAGTCTGACATCGATCCATTTGTTAGTAATATCTGCAATTACCTCCTTTCACTGTGTGGAATACCTTGTCATGTCCAAACAGCAWCCTTTCATTAACATATGTTCTTAAATCTCATATATCCAAATTAATCAAAATTTTTATAGCTAATGTTTTTTTAAACCCATTTGAGAAGTCTTTGCACTTCCTGATCTTTTATAAACCCTGGGGGGGTGGTTGTATTATTTTTTGGCCTTCACTTACAGATTTAGAAGTCACCTGGAACTGATTTGTCTAAATACTTTGAGTTAGGAATTACATTTCAATGTTTGTTTCATCTGGATAATCAATTAACCCAGCCCCATTTATTGAATAAGCTATTTATTCCCCAGTGCTTCCCAGGGCCCTATTTTTCTGAATCAAGAGTCCATACATATTGGGTCTGATTCTGGACTCTCTGTTCTGAGTTCTTATTGTATAGCCTCGTGCTAATACCACATTATTTTGAGTACCAGACTTTTATAAAAACTTGATAGCTGATGAGATATCTTCTCTCGTCACTTTTTAAAAGTATTCTTGATATTCTCAGGCCTTAATACTTTCATATAAAGAATTGAATCAATTTTTCCAAATTCTAGAGTATCGTAGTTCCTATTTTGATTGGGAGTTTCATGAATTTATAGACATGTAAGAAGAAACTGATATTTTCACCAAATTGAGTCTTGCAATGCACAGTGATGGAATATCCCTCCACCTGTTTTGGTGTTCCTAAGTTTGTCTCAATTACATTTGATAGCTTTTATGAAGAAATCATATTCATTATTCATGGATATTTGACATTTTTAGTGAAAAAAAATAAATTATATGCTCGTTTAATTTCTGAGAATGTGTTGAAGTAC